TTCTTCTTCTGTTGTTTTTAAATTGGTAACTAATGCCAAAGTGTTTCTGCTGAAAACGTTCACGTTTAGCTCAGCGACACCTCTCGTAGCAAACTCCGTATTGATGAGAAGAGGCAATATTTACTGTTGTAAATAAATCTAAAAAAAAAGAAAAAAGAATTAGACAAAAATATGTTTAAAAAACATTTAACACTACTTCTGATCTGACCGTGATATATTTAACACAATTTGATGAGAAGAAGCACTCACAACAGTCTGATTTTACTTTTTATTTTCAGATGTGCAGAACCTACGCCGCGTTAGGTTCGCTCACTTAAATGTTTTACAGTTTGTGTTGCCGTGTGTGACACGGGGACAAGGTGTATAGCTCCCCGACGACCTCAGTTCTCCTGTCCAGACAGGTGTAAACGGCTGCCGAGATGAAACAAAAAAACAAAACAACGGCTCTGGATGAGAACATTTTTAGTGTGACAATCAAGGTCATCGGACTCGTCTCGATTTTAAAGAAAAAAAGATCCTGCGGGTTGCCGCCTCCTGTATTCACATGCATTATTCTGCTCACAGTACTGCAGTACAGTCGCTCAACTCAGTCTTGACATGTATACAAACAACAAGAAAAAATGGGGGGAAAAAATATCTGCAATAAAGACATAATGCAAAACGAGCCCTGGTTCGTCTCTTGTATCCGAGTATCTGTTTGAGCTGACGAAGCTTCAGTCTGCAGGGTTGTGTTGCAGTTTTTGTACTTTAAGGTGCTTCAGGTCCTTGTATGCGACCCCCGCTAATTAGCTCCTGTATGACCACTCGACGGTGATCATCATGGATAATGGCTCTCAATACATGGCTCCCTGAAGCATTATAGATTGGCACCTAATCACGTCCAGAGAGGGCAGAAAGAAGATGAAGGTGGAAGATGTCTGATGGGGCTGTAGGTGGTCACAGCAAAACACATTATCCTGATTATTTGCTTTACTTCTGTCTGTTATGGTGAAACGACAGCTGGGTTTCCTTTGCAGGGAGTGTGGCCTCAGCACACTTGGAGGAGCTCCTCCAGTTAAAGGGAACCAGCTGAGGTGGTTCTGGTATCTGACTAGGACACATCGGGGATTGCAGGAATGGACCGCTGGACGGGATGGACGTCCATCAAGTCTACATACATCAGCCAGCAAAACAAAGAGTCTCCAAACATCAAAGAGTGAAGAGGTATCACCTTGACTTCTTATCTTCAGCCTTCACCTGCACCTGGTAAAGATGCAGAGCTGCGATAAAATGAGTCTGTGTATCAGCTGCTTCTCTGTTGCCATGACGATGAAATTCCAGCATGAGCACCTCTTCAGTCATTTGAGGATACAGAATAATGTAGATGAGGAAGTAAGGTTTTTCTTTTTGTACCTGAAGTCCGTGAAGCTAAAA